AAATTGGGCATGTTTAATTCCCTTAAAAATTTATAAAATACTCTGTTAAAAGGTTATCTATTTCTAGTTATGAAACCTTATAGTATATCAACAGTATCTAAGAAATGCAAGCTGTATCTATTTCTTTCTTAGCTCCTTGCCCTAATTTCTTTATTTCATTCATAGATACGAAGCCAACTCTTATACAGTATTCTTTATTAAAAAGAAGTATTGAAGGCTTCACCAATGATAAGGGTTAAATAAGTAGTAAAGGACTAAAATGAAAGAGTTGATTCAATAAAAAATATCCTACAATCTTTTCATCTAGCAGTTATACGGGGAATATGTGAATTTCTAATATATAATTCCTTTGAGTTTATCTAATTTCATATGATAAGTTAATTTCGAAATATAAATTTTCTTAGGTAAGAACCAAATTTTTAAATAAAAAATTAAAAAATAAATTTCAATATTAGCAAATGCGGTGATCCTTAATGGGAAAAACTTAATTTTACCGAAAAAGAAAAGCGATTGAATTTGATCTGCGTCAAATTAAAATAATTTATTTCTGTGCATTTGATCTAACTTTATAATTGTAAGGTAATATTGTTTCTAAATTGAGGCAATTTATGGAATTCCTAAGGTTAGCTGGCTATTGCTAGCTCTGGTTTTGGTAAAGTAATTAGCTGAATTACATCTAAAATTTTATGATTTGGTAACAGCACTCACACATTCCTCACAAGAATATTCCAATTTTGACCATCCAGTTTCCTCAAACAAATTTATCCTGACTCGTTTCAATTATTCTTCAAAAACCATTGAGTGAAATCTTTGTTCTTCTATAAGAAACATTCTTTCAATCAATTACAATATTTATAAGTATAAGCACAACTCACTTATTAAAATTCAGCCTTATGATATCTTATTAATAGGTTGCAAAATATTAATATCAGAAGACTATTTAAAATCACTGTTGTTCTAAATATATTATAATTGTGATCTTAAATGAATATTCCTTTTAGTTGATTATCCATTATTTGCTGGATAAGCAAAACAAATAGTACATCTACATATAGTTGATTGATTTCATATCTAAGTTTGATGTTAGCTTCTAAGTATTAAAAAATTACTAATTCAATAATTAAAATAGGATTTTTTTTTATTCATTATTTTGACTTAACTGTAATTTTAAACATAAATCTCTCATTCTATGCGCATCTGCCAATTTCAAAATTCGTGATTCCAATAACATTCAAATTATTTCGTATCGATCTTTCTAGAATTCTTAATAACCATCATCTTCCTGAACCACTTTTTGATTTTTTCAACTAACCAAACATATTATGTCCAATTGAAACAAGTCAAGCTAAATTACCGGAATTAAATACATTAAATTCAACTGTTAATAGGATCTTATTAACATCTATTTATAGTAATAAAGGAGTGTTATAGTTTTAATTTTTCTGTGCTATGAGATGAAAAAATCGAAATTTTAAGATGAGTTAGTTCATTCATAATTCAGAGTTCTGCTAAGATTTGATCAGATCTGCCCCTAACTTGGATAAATTACCAATAAAGTTATAACACATATCAAGTAATTGATACTTTATCAAATATCCTTTTGAAATAGTAGCTTGGAATTCTACACCTTACCTATCAGTTTTAAGAATGAATATCTAATTGAAGGATTTCTAACAAACAAGCTTATTTTTATCTATAAAGTGTAATAATTAACTCAAAGTTAAAGTTAATTTGAATGCGAGAAACAATGTATAGTAAATTTATATGTGTTGCTAATGGTATTCAGATTATTAATATTTAAACTACTCGAAATGATTATCAGGAAATATAAACAAAATACCTGGACTAAATATAGTTATTGGAGATTTACAACAATATTTATAGTGGTTAAACAATAGTAAGGAAATCTTCAAATCTAATAATATATTGAATCATCTATCAATAAAAATTTACTTGTATTATGTTGAAATAATCACACCAAACTTAGGCCACGTCTTTGCTAAGATTGCATCAGTTATAGTTATTGATGTAACTTTAAAGAAAAGTATTCTTAGTAGGACTTTCTTGGCGATATATGATACTAACTTCAGCTATGTTAAAAAATAGTTCCAGACAAAATTGATTCTATATTTCATCGTTTATTGCATACTTCTTTCGTAATTCCTCTAAAGTCTGAATTCATAACCTTGATTAAATAACCTCTCTTAAAATTCTCTAAGCTCTAAGGGAAAAAATATGAATGGATTACCAAGAATAGAAGAGCTTTTTGGTTCATTTCTTGGTTTGATAATCATTTAAGCACATTTTGTGTGTTTTATAAAGATAGCCTTATCAATTTCCAAAGTATGCTATTGAACAAAAGAAAGTTTACTCTATATTATAATTCATCAAAAAATAGCTTATCGAATTGATAAGTCACTTATTAAATGCTGTCACATTATAATTCTTTCATAAAACAGAAGCCTTAATGATTATAGATCCTTTAATTACTAAAAAAAGGATTAATGATCATGGACATTTATTATTAGCCCAAATTTTAATATCATATATGCTTCTCAATATTGAAGTGATAATCAATTTAACAGGGGTGCGATTTAAGTACATTTTATATTGATTCTGGAAATATATTATGAGATGAATTTTAATCTGAGAAATATTAAATGAATTTATAAAAGTATTTTTAATTAATTTGAAAATTAAATATTTCTTGAATTCTTTGCTTGACTTATAAACTCATTCAATTTCTAGAGATATCAAGCCAGTAATACAATTATTGAATAAAATAAAATTGTCAAATAAATAAATGCCTTTTTGGTATGGCCAGAAAATCATAAAAAAATAGGTCTTAGCTTGTATTTATTAATAAAAATAAACGTATCTCTTAACAATCCCCGTATATTTTTACTAATTCATTTAACATCTTCTCTCATATGAATGTCCTTAATATGAAAATTTTATATTTCCATACTATAAATTCATTGTCTAAATATTTATTTATCAGAAAATTTTAAATTTATCTATTTGATGATTGCCCTTTTTCTTTCAATAAAACCTTGATGATTTTCAAGAAATACCCATATTTTTTAAATTGATTTCTTTTGGTTTATAATTAGAAATCATAATCAACAACCATCAGGTACAATTTAGATAATTTTATATATAAAATGTTCTTAATTTAAGTGAGAGTATAAATATTATATTAAATCATGGTGTTAACTAAACAAAAATATCTATAGATTATTAAAGCCCCCAATCCAAAAGACTTATTCAATAATTTATATTGAGTTTCAACAATCAGTTTTTTTAAGCTTAATTTAATTTTAAGAGCTGATATATTTCGATTT